GTGTGTGTGTGTGTGTGTGTGTGTGTGTGTGTGTGTGTGTGTGTGTGTGTGTGTGTGTGTGTGTGTGTGTGTGTGCATACATGGTCGTGTGTGTGTGTGCTAATCAGCACCTCTTCTCATTCAAATGTTCCAGTATGGGAATGAGAGTCCAGCAGTAGCGATCACCATATGTCCGGAAATTGCTAACGGACATAAATTCTGAGTATCAGACAAAATGAGCCACTGAAGCTACCGCTGTGAGTACTTTTACTTTTTATTTGTTTGGCGTCATTCCGATCAGTTGCACTGATAATTAGTGAGACCGAGGAATGGATCAGCGTCTGATGGGAAAGCACACACAGTCAGGCATGTTTAAATATAGCCCACATTTACCCGTTTTTATAGTGTACTTAAAAACAGCACAGAAATATTATCCAAACTTACAATTGTAATGCTAAGACTACAAACAGGCTGCATTGTGCACACACAGTTTTTTTTATGTTCAGAGGGATTAGTACCAACATTTTTTGGTATGTTTAGAAAATCTGGCTAATCTGTTGGCAGGTGTACAGCTTGTCTGATCATGCCACTGCTCATTCCTTGCCCAGTCTCTCTTGCAGGGACGTCGTTATGATTCCAATTATTTTGGCTAATAAAAAAAGAATAAATTAACCCATATTAAACCCAATAAATCCAAATCTTAAAAAAAAACAAAAAAACATATTTAGTGAGGAAAAACTTGAGCGCCACAGCTCTGTGGTTCATGTAGACGCTGAATATTTGGACGATAAAAGGAAATGAAATGTCTGGTATTAAAGAAGAGATGAAGTTGGCTCCCATGGTTCAGCTGGGATCCCTCTCTGGTCTGTCTGTTGATCTTGATCAATGCAGGTTTCAAGAACTGACTGTGCTTTCAGTCTTGCTGTAATTGTAGAAAAGTTCCTTCTTTTATGCCTGTGCAATCAAATTTTGCCCCCAGCGTGTATACTAAGTAGAATATGTGGGTAGTGAATTTTCAGTAAGCTGTGCTTGGAAATAACTTAAAAAACAAAATTACTGCTCCTTCCTAACATGAAAGACTAAGATATTGGTGCCATTAAAGTTACAGGAAAAAATACAAACTTGTAAAAAAAACAAAAAACAAACTATATTTAATAGTGAGGGTTGTACTGCAGTATACATTATGTGTTCTGCTTCAACTGATTAATTAAATCGACTTTAACAGTCAGGCTACTAAGGTTGCAGGGTGCTACCTAAGAAGCTAAGGTGGTCATTTATGTGAACAGGGTTGTGGGAGCCAGGTTAATATAGCTCATATACTTCAGTATTTATATTTGTTGTTAAACTTGTTTTGTGTAATTAATAATTTAATAAGTAAATTCATGGTTATAATTGAACTAAAATTATTTTCTTGCATTCGTGTTGGCTTAGTTAAGTAAAACTGTGAATACGTGTGCCTTAAAGGCTTGGTTTGTAGTTAAAATCCCGGGAGGGAGCCACACGGTTTTTCTACCGTAGTATGTTTGTTGTTGAGGATAACTTAGACCTGATTACTCCTGTAAGAAGATTTACAAGCTGTGGAATAAGTTTTTGTTTGTATATTTTCTCATCGTTGTCCCGTGGAAGTTTTTTCCTCTTCAAATAAACGTACACGAGAAAAGCACTGGAAAACTGGTCTCAGGACTATACAACGGTGCTACTTAGATGCTACCTAAGTACCACCCTGCACATGCTTTATCCTGCACTACCTAACGTTTGCCCTTTGTATCCTGTAAAAAAAAACATCCATCAGATCTAAATCATCAGCCTTATATAGGTGTGATGTTAGCTCAGGATTTATCCCAAGGACAGCGATGCACTCTGGCTATCTGCGTGACAACTCACCTGTCTAAAAAGTTAAAAAGTACATAGTATAATTAGCCTTTAGGTTCTGACCTAACTCTCTCTAATTTTGTGGGTGGGGAATAATTAATAATTAAAGCTATTTAATTACACGAGTAAGTGTGTGTAACTACCTCTCTTCATTTGGAGACACCTGTGGGAGGATCCTGGTGCTGTCTGGTGCTACAGCTAATTCATAAACTCAGAGGAAAGACTTCCACAAACAGCTTTAAGCAACAAATCAAACCTTAGCTCCTGTAAATTTTTCTGTCTGAATTCATTAGGCCGTCTGGTGAGTCATGTCACTCCGACTTGTTGGAGACTTTTTTTTCAGTTTGTTATAAATGTGAAATTGTAGAGCAAATGACAGAAGCAAGAGTGACTATTTACTGAATGTGTCTGTGGTTTGAAAGATTTGTGTGAACTAAAGGCTGAGAAACTGTCCACTGGAAAACAAACATGTCAGTGAGAGCTTTTATCACAATCATCAATCACTTTTGCTCTTCATTAAGGAATTTCTGTCTCACTGTAACATGAGATAAGTTTTGGACTGAGCACGTATCTGTGTATTGAAACAGCGGCAGCCATGAAAGATTCTCACTTTGACACTTTGGGTTAGTTTATGAGATTGATTGTGATTAGCTTTTCGTAACTTAACAATTAAAGTTGTCTTGTCATAATCTTCACTGATAATAAATATTTTTTCTTTTTGTTTCTAACTCTCCAAATCTGCTTTTTCTCATTTCCTTTATTCTACTTTCATCTCTCCCTGCACCTCTTTCGTTTGTGGGTCCTTCTCAGTGCTATCTTGTGACTCCGAAGCAAAGTTAGTTGCAACATTTATTTCTTACCATGCTTACCAGCTCATGCTTGGTGTATTACTTGGTCTTTTAACTGTTTACCAAGTAGTTTGGAATAGACTCACAAAAGGGGCCATTACGAACAAATCAAACTATATATAGCTCTGTTTTTAAACATATATTTAACTTACTGAACTGTAAATAGATGTCCCTGACAATCAAGGTTAAAAATCACCGTTATATTAAATGCAGTGCTCAACAGTCACAAAAATTACAGCAGGACTTATTTTGAAGAGATGCAAAAAGCCTGCAGTAAAAATATAAAATTCCTTGGTTGCACAGAATCCATCTGCCTGATTTGAGCATTGAGGCCAAATATTTTTGCAGAAAGCAACATGGGCACGATGGATATATTCTTTCTATGATTGATAGATATTCTACATTTTGGTGCAAGCATAGCGCAAAAGCTTTGGAATCTGCAGCTGAGCAATACTTTACTTTTCAACAGGGTTTTATAGTTAAGTCCCTCTTTTACCCAAACATGTCATAAATGATGTGTGATTGTGACTCAGTGTATGAACAATAGCAGAAATACCAGCATAGCAAAGAGGCCACTCCAAACATGGCTGCTATGGTAACCACATTGACATGAATGGCAGGGGGTGGGGTGGATGGGTGGTACTCTAATGGCATCGCTCTCTTACTGTATTGATCTGGCACACTCTCTCCATCATGCACACGCACACACACACACACACACACACACACACACACAAGCATTGCTAAAATTACTTCTCTTTCTCCAAAGTCAAAGTCATTCATGCGCTTTTATTCCCCCGCTTCATCTCAAGCGCTCTGTAGCCTGCAAAGAGCAGCACACAGCTCTAGACTGAATCATATGACAGCCTAATTACAGCTGTGCAAACACATTCACTCTATGTACATGCATGCATCTGCATTCGCACAGGAGATTATCCAGAACACAGTGTATGCATGACCCAGTTTCAGCAAGATGCATAGCTGGGTACGGTCTCTGTTCGTCTCGCCTCCCTCCCTCTTGTCTTCTGCCTCTTTACTTCTTTAGTTGCCTCATCTCTCTCTTTCTCTCTCTCTCTGCTGCCACTGTGAAACCCTCCATCCTTTGTAGTCACCGTGGTCGTGACTGTGTAGAATAGATCTAGAGGCAGAGGAGGAATAGATACGTCTAGCTCAGCCTGTGGATCTGACTACTCAAGGAGGCGCTTGTGTGTGTGTGTGTGTGTGTGTGTGTGTGTGTGTAGCCTTTATGTCAGCAGGAATCAGGCTCCGTCATACAGCACAGTGTGGATTAGTGGATGTGTGTATGTGTGTTTGTTTATTTAAAAGGGTCCCAGTGCAGTAATGGGCTACTCAGCCAGCTCAGTGTTTTTCTATTAGTGCAGTTAGTGGCTGTTTGAATGATTATTAGTAATTCCCAGATTACATTTTTAAATTTCATGTAATTTGACCCGGAATAAGTGTTTATTTAACTCATGTTTCTTAAATATGATCTTTGCACATGGTCAGCTAAGACTTGTGTAAAGATCATAGCTTTAAAGAATAAGTATAAAAGAGTATTTAAAAAATAAATGCTCTTACAAAATATACAAATATTTTTCAAACACTTAGTCTTTGAGTAAATTAGGCTTATCTATCACTAGCTACAGACATGTAAAAAGACTTTTCACAGACATCTCTGCAACCCAGTGAAAAACTAAATACACTTTGAGAAACATCTCAGACTCTACAGGCCTCATTTAGCGTGCTGAGTGTAAAAGCTGATGACAGTACAAAGCCTTTTCTTTCATATACATTTTCTACATGGGAGTGGGGGAATAAAGATGAGATGTGTTGCACAGTGCCACATTTGGCAAAACAGCTCATACCAACTGTCGAGCATGGCGGTGGAGGGTGATGATTTCAGCTTGGTCTGCAGTGACAGCATCTGGGCACCTGACTGAAATCTGACCATGAGCTCATCAAAGAATTCTAGAGTCAGGTGTGACTCTAGAATGTGACAGCATTTGTCTGACAGTAAAATGTTAGCTAATCGTGGGTTATGCAACAGAAAATTGATATCAAGTGCAGCAGTAAATCTACAATAGAATTAAAATATAGATAAAAAAAAAATAAAAGCATTTCAAAATCCAGACCTCAACCTGAGTGAAATGCTCTGGCTGGACCTTAAGATAAATAAATGAACGAAGTGAAACAAGGTTGTGATAAAGAGAGGGTCAATCGTCCACAATGATGTGAGAAACTGATAAAGTATTCATTCAGAGATATCAGATGATACAGTTATTCACTGACTGTATATCATGTCTGGTATACAGATAAAGTATATTGGAGTAAGATACAGACTAGCAGAAGGTGATAGCTAGCCTCGCTATTCTTAAACAAAACAAAAATATGCATGTCAGTGCCTCTAGCTAGTCAGGTTAGCTTAACTTAGGAAAAAGCTAGCATGATTTTATCCAGAGTTTTTAAAAAATCAGCAACATAAAACCCTATATATATATATATTCTCTTTCCAGACCTTTTGAAATATATATATATATTTAGGTTTTTGTATATATGTATATATGTATGTCTTCTTATCCCTACGTTAGCTAACTTAAGTTAAGCTAATTGCTCCTTGGCAAAGCTCCTCACTCCACAGAAGGTCGTGAGGTTTTTATCCAACTTCAAATTCTCAGGATAAACATATTTTCTGAACTCAGTTTGTCTGTTTGTCCTGCAGAACTACGGACTAGAGACAGAGAACCTCCGGACTCTATCCCACAAACTCAACGCTTCAGCAAAGAACCTCCAAAATTTCATCCTCGGCAGACGGAGGGGTGGCCATTATGATGGGCGAGCTTCCCGAAGGCTACCAAATGATTTTCTCACTTCAGTGGTGGATCTAATTGGTGCAGCCAAGAACTTGCTAGCTTGGCTTGACAGGTGGGGGATAACATATGGAGATTAGATTGTTTTTTTTTTTAATTACAGTGTTAATGAATAAATGAAATCGCAAATATAAAAAAAAAAAAAACACCAAATGCCAATATTTCTCAAAAATTGTTCAGGCAAACATTTTTCTCTAAAACTGTCGGATGTTTTGTTTTTACACAGCAGAAACATTTCTCAGGTTATGATCTCTATTATTCTTTATTTTCTTAGGTCTCCGTTTGCCAGTGTGACAGAGTATTCATTACTGAAGAACAACATTGTGCAGCTCTGCCTAGAATTAACCACCATTGTACAACAGGTGCTTTCACACACATTCCTGCAAACATCACACAATCCACCATTTCCATATCCATTACAATAAAGGTCATGATTTGAATTTAAGGGTCAACACTAGAGCAGGATTGGATTGGAGGCATCAATATGTATAGAGCTTTTGTTGCCTACAGCTGGTTTCTATAGATTTGAGCACGTGTGCAACTTACATGCATTGCCACAGGCTGTTTGCAGCATGGCTGATGGGACGAGTGGCTCTCAATAAAAGCCTTAAGCAACATTCTCATCGACTCACTGTTAGACCTCATCCCTTGCCTAACTTAGGCTCTGTTAAACAGTGAACCGGAGGTCTCTCATCCCTATAATTCCCTGTCCTCCTTCTACTTCCCCTCTGGCTCGATTCCTCATGTTAATGCACCACATTGCACACACACACAATCACACACACACACATCCAGCATACTCACTCTGGTACTTTAGCCATCTCATTGTTTGGACAGAAACTATGTCTCCTCTCTTGGACTCCATTCATATCCTCCCAGTAAGAGCCTGCTTAGAGTGTGTGTGAGAGTGTGTTTGTACTTGTGCCCAGAGTGAGTCCTGGAGCTGAGCAGATAACACCCATCCCCTGTTACAAGGGCCAAAGAAGAGCGAGGAGAAAGAGACCACCGCAGGTCCACAATGGGCCAAATGAACATGTGGCTGCCAGGGTGCAGCGAGACAGACAAAGGTGGCAGCGCCGTCCGCACTAATGCATCAGACAGATTAATTAGCTGCTACCGTGCACATCTGGTGGATTCAGTGGGCTGGCTTCTCAGAAATGCATTACCTATCAGCTGTCGGTGAATAACACTCCGTCAAGCTTCAAATAAAGTCATTTTATAAATCCAGATATGAATTTGATGCTCCAGACCCCAGAGTAGATTTAAAACTCGTCACTCTACTGTCAAACATAATGCAGAGGGGTTGTAACAAAATAGCCAACTGCTCAGGTCCACATGCCTTCCATTTCTTCCTGTTGGGCATCTCATTTATCTCATTTCCTTCTTTCCTCAATGTTATATTTGGACTAGAGAAAGACACTTGAGCTGGAGTGCGGATGTTCACATCGATGTTTTCTTAATGTGTTCCTCTTTGTTCTTTTCTACAGGACTGCACTGTCTATGAGACAGAGAATAAAATTCTTCACGTGGTAAGTTTTTCTTATAATATCAGCGACCATTCAAAGTTGTCGGTCAGTTTTTGGGGTCAACAATGAACTTTCATGCTCAACTAGCTTTACTTCATTGTTGCACTGTCACACATGTGGTTACAGCACACATGAAACTGCAGCGCGTGGTAATCCGCATATTTCCAAGCAGCTGGCTCATTGCACAAACCTGCCATCTAGTATTTGCAAGAACAGAATTTCACATCTACCGGCAGACTTCTGCACCGGTTTTGAGAAATAAAAGCATTTAGAGAAAATCTGTGTGAAACAGAAAAAAAAAGTATTAGCTAAACTGGTGCATTTGAGTGCGCTTCAGTTAGACGTTTGTGTTTGTGTGTGGGCGTGTGTGGGCATGTGCGTGCGTGCACTTCAGCGTACTGTTTGTTTTTGGTCGAGTGTGTGGCACAAATTTGTGCATGTTAAAGTGCAAATGAGCCCGAGGCCTTCTGAAAGCTTCAGTATGTGTGTGTGTGTTGTGTGTGCATGCGCGCAAATGTGTGCATCCATGACGGAGAACTGTCTGCATCCACGTGTGAAACGGACTGAGCAGCCAGTGTCTGATTTGGGTTGACAGTTGGTTTAGGACACTTCCTGCTGCCATTCAAGGTCAGGTGGAGGAAACCAAATGAAATGTTAGCAGGGGGAGCTCACAGAAAAAATAGTTGATGCATCTTTTGGCAAAAAAAAACGCTCAAGGAATGCATATTTTTGCACATGCACATTAGATACTCTGTAATCCATAAGCTCTTTGGTTGAGCTGTCATTTACCTCTGCTGTTACAGCCCCAATAATGACACAGGACAATGACATCAGGCAAATTCAAATATTTAAAGGGCTCCATTGCACACGCAGTTACATGCTCACAGCCATCAGTGCCTGACAAAGGGCCGCACATGATTAAGTCTGTTATGTGCGGGAGGTTTATGTGTGAAAGAGGGAAACAGCATGAAGACGAGAGAGAGGAGGAGCTGTTTGTTTTTAGATCCAGCTTCCTCGCAGGCTCTTATTTACTGTGAGTTTTCCACAAAGATGAAGTGAAGGTGAGGTAAACCATGCAGGCACACAGAACAAACACAAATATCCAATCTTATCCCCTGTTTTTGAAACAGAATGGCAAACAGAATTTGGACTTGGACAAGCGGACTTGGACAAGCGGACTTGTCCCCAAAAAAGTTTTTCTATTGCACTTCTAGGTAAAAAAAAATAGGTTAGTCCTAGCCAATGTGTTATGTTGACTCGATGGAATTTTATTATAGCTGGAAACTGAATTAGAGGGAAGAAAACAGCATATTTCTAACATTTGAATCCTAGTGACCCCTGAAATTAAAGATTATTTACTTCAAAATAACAGCAGCCAGATGTGATTCGGTATAGATGGTAACTTGCTACATTAAAGTGCTTTTCTACTCTACTAGAGCACTCAAAGCACTTTATAAAAACCAGACTATTTACTATTTATTTCAGATTGTTTAAATTTGACCTTCAGGTATAGCAGGTTGATATAAGTAGCATCTTCTCCAGCACATAACCAGCAACAAGGTGGTTTGTTACAGCTTCTACTAAAAGCTACCTGTTTCTCAGATGCAGCAATAATGTTCGCCTCTTCAGCCTCACCCTTCTTCAGCAAGGTGCACTTAACTCACAGGTGCTTCTTCAAATTTTGAAGTAGCGCATGTTAGCGGCTGACAGCAGCTAACAGACTTATCATCACCCCAAGCAAGACTTTTTTTTCTCTTTTTTTGTCTTTTGACGCAACAATGGGGACAGTAACAGATTGACTGGAAACATCATGTTGCTCATTTCAATGCAAATGTAATCTGAGTACTGCTGCTTTGTAACATGTTACAGCCAACATTGCACAAAGCTTAAAAAAAAAACAAGTAAAGCAATAAAAAAATAAGTAAATTAAGTAAGCTTTTAGTCATTTGATCATATTTATAATTGAAGATTTAGACTGGGCTCCCTGATAGAAAACAAGAGTTAAACACACCCGTGAGTGACACTGGATGATTAATTACATTTCCAGCTGGCTCTTTTTCATCCAGAGCTCCAAAACAGTGGAGCAAATGTCTACAGCAACACCACCTAAATATACCATAACTGTAGGACACTGCGACACTAGAGCCTATTGTAACAATCTCTATAAATATATGATTATTCTACAAGGAAATGCTTTAAAGGGAGTGATTCTTCAAATTCTGCTCTCATTTCAGTCTGAAGTCTTACTTACAATGCAGTCATTTCACATAACTGGGTTTACAGTTTCACTCAAGTATTCTACTGTATGCAGTTTGATTCAGACAGACATACAGTATCTAAGAGTCTCCAGTGTATAGCCAGCATGGGGATTACAGAGTGTTTACTGTAGTGATAGTTGTACCTATCTCAGCTTCTGCTCAATAATGCAAAACTCACTGCTACTCTGTTCACTTTTAGAGCACGGCCTGCAGCAATCAGATGGACAAGGATAGTGTGCATGCACGTGTGTGTGTGTGTGTGTGTGTGTGTGTGTGTGTGTGTGTGT